AGTTGGTTCCTGGATATGGGGAGACTTTGTCGGGGCTGTACCCAAAGCCCATGTATGTTTTTTGGGGAGCCGTTACTTTCAACGTCGTTAGGGGGGAGGGTATTTTCTCTCACCTCGTGCTTTCTACGGTCCATTGCGACGTTAAACCTTGTACAGGGCCCAAGCCATACCGGGCGGTGAGGGTGTTACGCTGGCGGGTTTATCCCCGCTTTTGCACCGATAACTCCCGTGTTATGGCTCTGGATCGATATGTTAAGAACTGGTCGAGTTTGCTCCCATACATTTCCTCAGTTTCTGCCTTTGTACTGTATGATCGCCATGCGATGTTTTCTATGTTCCCAACTCTGTGTTTTACGTTTCCCGGTCGTGGCATGCTTACCCACCACGCACCGCGATAAAGATGCAGCAGCAGCGCATATCCATGCTGGAACTTCTGACTCACGGGAGCTCACCTAAGCCACGTGTGGGCAGAGAATAAAGCTGCACCCAAATTGAGGGCCGTTAATGGTTGGAAGGGGGTTGCAGGATTAATTCGAAGTACAGAATTAAATTGTGCACAAAGATCTGAGGGGCACACCGTAGCAAGAAGTCTGCCGACCTCTATATTTCCGGCCTCTATTCTGGGAAGCAGGTGGTGCCCGGCGCTACCGACCGCACTCGAACTTGGCACGGCGACAGCCGCTCGCCTTCAGGCAGGCCTCCGCGGAAAAAGGCGAACCCTCCCCCAAACTTGAAATGGTGTAATCGGAATATAAGAGACCCTAATATAATCCTTGTTATTCCTTTATGTTCACTACTACTGGGTGGGGAGTCCACCTAAGGCTTACAAATTAGTCTGCGGGTGGGTGGGACTATAAGTTGGGTTTGTTGCTCGCGTCAGCTTGGGGATTGGGCTTCAGAGACCTGACATGGATTGAGGGTGCTGCGAGCCTCGAGTAGCAACAGCCACATGTACGAATGGTGGTTTCCCTACATAAGAGGTTCCCCCATATAACAGCACAAGACTATAGCCCTTTTTTAAGGGACCCCCAAATAGTACCCCCAGTTTTGGGAAACTCCCGAATCCTTGATTCATGTTAGTACTCAGTGCCAAAATGAATACTTTACGATACACCCTAAGCCAGAACCCTAGACCCTAAGACCCGAAACTGCGAGTCGCTAGGGCTCACTGCCCGCTTGTGCTGATGTATGTTGGTAGAAGCTTCTTTAGGCTTGGGGTTCGGAGGGCTTGGGGTTCAGATTTAGGAGTTAATGCACACCTGGAGGGTCAGAGGGACTTGGTAAGTAGGTTAATATGGGGATAACGGGGTCTTGGGTATAATTACGAAGTCCCCCTGACCTTCCCAGTGAGGTGTACTGTTAGCAAGTTGAAGGTCTAGAGAATATGTACCCCACACACTCGTGGGGAACTCCTTCTTTTAAGTGTGGATGACTGTGACGCTTGCCACTGCAGAGTCTCAGGTTTGGGTCCGGTTTGGGTAGAAGATTTAGGCCCTAAACTCTAAACCCTAAACCCTAAACCCTAAGCCCTAAACCCTAAATAGGGATCAAGTTTGTTTCTGCTGGCTTCAGGAGTGGCACTTATCATGTCTTCGAGATGGGTGCATAGAGTTTGTGAGCTGAAGACTAGGGCTTAAGGGACCATCATATGGTCATGCAGCCTTAACCTGGCTTGGTTTGTGGCAGCCTCTACAAGTTCCCTGGATAGAAATTATAATTTCAGCTGGTTATTAGGGTTATGGATAACATAATTTAAAAAAAATCAGGGAACTTCCAGGCCTGAATCTGAACATGGCGACAGCATTGCTATGTGTGAAACCCCTAAACGTTACCGGCAGCAGTGTGTTTCGTCATCAGTACCTACCTGCAACGATCGCATACACACGCACACACATTATCTTGAGGTTCAAGCCCACTATGATAAAGGCTTGGGAGGGCCCATGCCAGCTATGTATACCCGAGACCGTGCTGCTGTCTCAGAAAATAATGCCGCAGCGATGCTTTGAAGACACAACCGATGCCCACTTGAGGCCCTAAAGCCTGAAAAATACAACGCCCAGTTGGCTCTTAAATTTGACTATTACTATTTCTATTTCTATTTCTTAAATCTACAAATAATCCCCCCAAAGTCCTTTCGTGTCTTTCTTGGCTTTTTGCAAAAATTGGGCTGACCTAAGGATGCATATACACATAGATATCATACAGGAAGTCTAAGTGTTCCCATTAAGTGTGGGCATGATCTTGAAAAACAGCAGCTTGAATCTTTCGGTATGAGCTCATCCAGGCCAATCTCAGCCTATGAAGATTGCGCGCCCTAGGAAAGCCTTGTCAAAAGCCATGTTATTATTATTACTATCATTATGACTAAAATTACGATGAGTACTAAAAATTACTGCTGTTGTTGCTCATATTTCTATATTCCTATTATTACAATATTAGAAAATGATGGTTACAACTATCATTACGATTATTACTAGTATTACTAATATTATGAGTATTACGATTATTACTACTATTAATGCTAATTTTTATTGTTATCACGACGATTCTTGCTATGATCATGAGGGACTGGGTTTGGGGTTTCAGGGTTCTTGGAATAAGCGGGCTGCTTCGCACTGCAACATCTAAAGAAGCTGCTGGGTTCTGTCTAAAGAAGAAAGTGCCGTGCCTTGCTACGGGAAGAAAACCACAGAACAGACTGAGGAAACCCTTAAACCCTAAACCCCATATAACCCTATAGGAGCCCCATGTACCCCTATATTATCCCTATAAAGCCACCAGAAAAAGAACCCCTAATTTTGGGATCCCAAATCTTGGGATGAATGGAGAAGGAAGCCCGCTTTGAGACCTTCTTCCTGTTTCAATGCTATCCCCAATAGGGACCAAATAGTCTGGCTAAGTCATGCGACTTCAAACGCCTAAAACTCTGGCTAGTTTGGGAACCAGGTCTGTCTAAACTACCCTTCGGGCTGAGGTCAGGTGACGTCGTTCTAGTTTGCCCGATAACTTGGGAAGCAGCACAACAGGCTACGTTACTAGAACCTCCGGAACATGTCTGGCACCCGGGCCGTGAGGAAACCCCGGCGCGTAAAGCTGTCCTTGAGAACATGTCGGCTTTGGAGGTGTAGACTTTTGTGATTGGAGCTCAGAGGTTTTTGTGAGTGGCATCCGCTGACAGCAGATCCGTACTGAGAGGTATCCGACATCTTTGAGGGCTTGGCACATGTCTTCAACAACCGTTCCGAATAGAAATTTGCACGAAGTAGCTTCTACCAAAAAAAGGCGTAGTTCGTGGTTGAGCACTCGGGCTTTGACCAAGCAGGCTGTGGTAGGTTGGGGTTCCGAAACTTTGGGGCACCTTTTGGGGGTTTATAGGGGTTCTATAGGCTCATATAGGGCTATATAGGGTTTAGGGTTTCTTAGATTAAGGAGTACCATTTTGGGGCTCCCGCTTATAAGGATACATATTCTGGGGTCTATATTGGGGTCCCCCCAATTTTGGGGAAGTACCTGGTAGGTTGGGGTTCATGTTGGCTAGGTGGGATAGTAAGCGGCATCCTCCCAAATATAAACATGGACCACTTTCGGAAGGATGGTGGTCTTTACCGAGCCCTTTTGGGCGCTCCATGTCAATCTTGGTGGTAGGATAGGTCCCCAGACCTGTGCAATGTTCGGTCAAAAGGGCAGCGCCAAAAGTCTAACATTCCCAGTCATTACTACTATCCTTACCATTGCTTCTATTATTACTATCACTACTATTATGGAGGAAGCTCAAACTCGCCACTTCTAAGTCTCTCGCTGGTGGGCTGTATCTGCATCAGCAGCCCCAAAGTGATTTCGGTACTGTACGTAAACTCTGAGGCCCAAGTAGCTACTAGGCTGTAGGGTTTAGCACTACTCTTGAAGGCCCTCTTGCGTATTGCCTTCTTTCAGTTTCAGAGCCACTGTGGACTGAACCCGCCCTGTCCTTGCTGAGTGCCAGGGTTGGCTTGGGCAACCCCAGCAACCCTAGTAGTAGACCCCTAATTGATGACCCCGCTTCCCTTAATAGGGATTATAATAGGGATCCCAATATGGAGGCCCTTTAGAGGAGGGGGGTTATTAATCATGGGTCTACATTAGTAGATTCATTAGAATTTCCAGCTGCTCTGCCAGCTTTGCCACCGACCCTTAACACTGAAGTGAAGAACATGTTCTGCCTTGACGGCGACAAGTCTAGGGGAACACACGTTCTCTTTGCGTCCGCCACCAAAGACAAAATCTTCTCATCCAAAGATGGCAAGAGACTAAAGTCCGTAAACACAAACTGCAAAAACAAACCCTAAAAGCATCCACAGTGGACCTCCCAAAAATGGCCTAAATCTTGAGTTCCAAACCCAAAGCCCCAGAAACGAAGCTGAATGCCAAGCACGGGTCTGGATGTTCCGGATCGATGATGGTCATCAAGTGCCGGGCCACCTCTGCAATCTGCTGTGCACTATTGGCAGAGTGGGTTTAGGGTTTAAGGGTTCAAGGGTTTAGGGTTTAAGGGTTTAGGGATCTGGACCCTTCAGTTAAGGTTTGAAGGGTCTGGGTTGAATGTCTAGGTCCTGCAGGGTTGGTGGTTTAGGGAACAGTCCTACCAACGTATACCAACAATCTTTGAAGCGGTGCAGGGAACGTAGCGTTGTGAATGTTTAGTTTACCAGCATTTTGGATGTACAATGAGTGGGCTCCGGCTCATGCGTCCTGTATTTGAGGTTTAGGGTTTAGGGTTTAGGGTTTGGATCCTGAATCCACAAACAAAAACCACGCGGTTCGGCCCATCTTGCGTCTAGCACGAGAATGATGAAAGATACTATCTCATCCTCAAAGGGTCTGGTAATCATGCGCTTTAGGGCAAATAACATATAGTAGTTTCCATTTTCTTTTCCGTTCTCCCTATAACCCCTAAACACTAAGTAATATACAGTAGTTTCAATTTTCTATTCCATTATCCGCATAGCTTAGGGTTTTGGGCAGCAGAACCACTACTCAGACTACTCAGACGTTAGTTTCTCATGATTTCCAATGCTCAAGAAACTGAGGTTGCAGATGCCAGAGCTCAATCACTAGACTAGCCAGACAAGCTGCACACCGCTCAAGACTGTATAGGTCCTGGAAATCTTTGCTCGATATGGGAGAAAATGCGCTATTTCTACGTCTAAGTCCTGAACCCCTAAGCCCAAAACCCTGTTCGAAAGAGAAAGTCTCCATCTTATTGTGGGTTTGTAGGAGGGTTATACTATTTTGGGATTATACAAGGGTTACATGCTGCTACCCCCCCTGAAGCTATTGCACTTGCAACTGGCCATGGCTCTGACTGATAGCTCTTTAGACTCTTAAATGTGCACTTCTCAATTAATTTCTGAGCTGTCAAAGGAAGCTGCGAGACGCGACAAGGCTTGCTCCATCCTGCAAGCTCCAAGCGCCATGGCTTAGGGTTTAGGGCTTGGGGTTTAAGGTTTAGGGTTAGGAGCACGAAACAAAACTTGCAGGCTGATCCTTTTCTGCAGTCCAGGGCGGTACAATAAGGTGAAGATGGAGTAAAGCATGGCTGCTGCTGTTGGCTTATGCAAATGCCAGGACAAAGCGGTGATCCTTCCGGGACATGGGGCCCTGCTCATATATGTTCAAGCTGAAGGTGCAAGCAAGTTTGTGCCAACAAGGATGCTCGCCATGGCGAGCCCCTGGCATGCAGCGTAGCACGTCTGCCCAAGGTCTGCTATCAGAGACCGAGAGAAGACAGGGCCGCCAAAGCGTCCCATGCCGTTGGAGACCAGGCCGTTGATGAGCATGACATTGTTTGCATCGAGTAAGGATCCATCCGGGAAGACATTGCTGTTCAGAATGCCCATGTTCAAAGCTCCAGCCAGGTACGTGGTCGGAAAAATCACTGAGTCCGCACAGAGAATCTGCAGCGGGTGCCGGGCAACACCTGCGACTAGGGCTGTGCCATTGTTGTCATTGATACCATGAGCATAGTCCGCCGCCGCCGCCGCCGGTGCTAGTGCCGTCAGTCCAAGTGCGAGCGTTTTTGATCTTAATATCAGATTCTTTGCCTTTCGCTCCCCCTCCTTCTTCCTTCTTTCTATTATCGCACCCTCGTTGTTGCCGCCGCCGCCGTCGTCTTGTTGTTGTCACTGCGGCCGCCATGTTTCTTCCATTGTCATATCATTGTCGTCGTCATTGCAGCTGTTGTTGCTGCTTTCTGACCAGTTTTTTGGAGGCTGTGGTTGTTGCTGTTTGCTCAGTTACGTCTGCTACCGCGTGCTTCAGCATTGTTACTTGATAATGTTGCTACTGCTACAAGAGCGTTGGCTGATATCGTTTATATTGCATAAACCTTGCACTTTTTGCGTGGTAATCTCAATGCCTAGCAGTGTCGCCGCCAGCATGCCCACAACTGTGTAGACCTTCATAAGCGAGATATCCTGGAAACGACCATGGAACTGCCGGTGCAGAAGGTAAGCCGGCACCGTCAGGCAAAATGTAAGCCCGATGCAGAAGCCAATGCTGCCTTCATTCCATTCGAAACGATCCTGGAGAAGCAGGCAAGTGGCCGATTCCACACCCGAGACGATGAAAGCCCGCAGCGCATCCATGATAATGCCTGGGAGCAGCGCAGTCCCAAAAGATCGTCAGAACCCTCTTTCCTACTCTTGCATTAAGTTGAACTTGTGGCTTCCTTCTGCGTGGCAAGACATGTTCACAGTGATTAGGGAACTCAAGGAATATCTTCCCTGGACGCCTGCCTGCCGAGCTCCCTGAAAGACATGCGAGGAGACCGACTACTACAACTATTCCTATTATTCTTGTCAGTGCTGATGATACTGTTTTTACTATTACTACTCTTACAAGTATGCTAGCATCAGAGTTTCATTCCGGCAGGCGCCGGCGACCACCAGGTATCATTGAGAGGCGGAGGCTGGGTACATGCAAAGGATATATTGGGGTCATATCGGGATAATGCAAGAGAAAATGGAAACTACTATAGTGAATTGGGGTCATACAGGGATGATGGAAAAGAAAATGGAAACTACTATAGTATATTGGGTTTATATCGGGATGATTTAAAAGAAAATGAAAAACTACTACAGTATGTTGAGGTTACATCGGGATAATGGAAAAGAAGTTGGAAA